CCTTCCAGCTACACCAAACTGGGAAAATTGTTTTTTATTCATTCATTCATTCATTCATTCATTCATTCATTTTCGTTAGTCCCTTTATTAATCAAGGGCCGCCACAGCGGAATGAACCTGCAACTTGTCCTGCATATTTTTTTATGCAGCGAATGCCAACCCAACACTGCAAAACACCCATACACTCTTGCATTTACACACATGCACTACGGCCAATTTTGCTTATTCAAATCACCTATAGCTCATGTCTTTGGACTGTAGGGGAAACCCACGCAAACAAGGGGAGAACATGCAAACCCACCAAGAAATGCCAACTGGCCCAGCCGGGACTCGAACCAGTGACGTTCTTGCTATGAGGCGACAGTGCTAACAACTTAGCCACACTTTAGATTATTCATTCATTCATTCATTTTCTTTTCGGCTCAGTCCCTTTATTTCGGCTCTGTCCCTTTACCGCCAACTTATCCAGCATATGTTATTACGCAGCGGATGCCTTTCCAGCCGCAACTCATCACTGGGAAACACCCATACACTCTAATTCATACACATATACACTGGACAATTTAGCTTACTATAGCGCATGACTTTGGACTGTGGTGGAAACTGGAGCACCCGGAGGAAACCCACGTGAACACGGGGAGAACATGCAAACTCCACACAGAAACACCAACCGATTCAGGCTTGGCTCGAACCAGTGATCTTCTTGCTGTGAGGCAATTGTGCTACCCACTGCGCAACCGTGCTGCCCTTTATATTATATTATATTATATTATATTATATTATATTATATTATATTATATTATATTATATTATATTATTTATTTATTATTTATATTGTTACTTTCTTGGAAACATCCATTAGTTTATAAGGTAATTATTTGTTTGTACCACACCTAAAAAAAAATTACTCACTTTTATACAATTTGACAGTTTATACATACATAGCAAACTTTGATTTCCACACCAACACACAAATATAATTGCATAAAGTCATTCGTTTGATCTACAGTGCTTAAAAGCAAATCAATGGGGGAAATAGAAAAAAATAAACTTGAATATAATAGCAAATCAAGGAATA